GATCCCAGCAAAGCTTCTGGCCCCAGCGCTTCCGACGCGGGCGCGCGACCTCCTCCCCCCTCCCCCCCCCGCTTCCCCCGAAAGAAGGGGAGGTGTTCATAGAGACAGCAAAGGCAGAGCGTCCTTTCCGCACAGCGCGCAAGCCGCTTTTGAGCTCGGGCGAGATGGGTCGCTTCCAGGCCAAGGTCTGTCCCTACCGCTTTCTAAGAAAAACGAATAAATGAACTGAGAATCGGAAGGCTCCGGCTTTGTCTTCTATCACCATCATTCGAACTGAGTCCGAGCCACCGCCTTTTTCTTCCCTTCAGGGCCTAGAGAGGCATGACCGGATGTCGCTTCCTATTTCACTTCGACGAGCTTCCGGTCCGACTCATTCTCGCCCCTCTTAGAAACCAGATCCCAAGGGCCTCTAGTTCCACTTTGCAAACCTGCACGCCCTTACCCTTAGATTTGGGTCGCCGGGGAAGTGCGGGTCGTTGGGCTTTGGATTAAAAAGGAGGGAGGAAAGGTGAGTTAGCGCCGGGTCAGCCTTTCTGCATCTCCCGCTTGCTCGGTTCCTCACCCCGGCTGGGAGACCACCAGCTTCACATTGCCCCTTTCCAGGGCTTTGCAAAGGGTGGAATTGTCGCCCGGCTCGCGCAGAGGTCCCCAACCTGGCGCCCTCTGGAAGGGTCGGGATCACAACTCCCAGACTTCCCAACCGAGCTGGCTGGGGAATTGAGGTCCCGGGGCGTTTGGAGGGGTGGGAGGGTGCTGGAACTGGAGAAGCCAGCCATGGCCCGTGTTTACGACGCCCGGAGTCCCTCCCGCTTGGGCTCGCTGGGTGTGGCGGGCGGTCCCCAGAAGGGGAAAAAGCGGAATGGAGGAGACCAGGGCCTGCTCGTCAAGATGGTCTGTACAGTCCGCCTTCGCTTAAGCTCTCCGGGCGGGCAGAAAGACGCGGAGGGTGCATGAAGCCATTATCTTTACCTGACCTCCACCCACCCTCTTGCAGGGGGAGGATTTCTCTATGTTTACACAGTGTGTATCCCGTGTGATGTTTGCCTTGGCATTGACTATCATTATTATTATTACCATTATTGTTATTATTTATAAAATGTACATGCCGCCCGACTCCCAGGGACTCTGGGCCGTTCACAATTGTTAAAAACCTTTAAGAACAAAAATACAGAAACCACACAAAACCAGCACACGACAGAAGAACAGCCGTGGCAAAGAGAACAAAGCCGGAGGGGGACAAAGAAGAAGAAAGGGGCGTCAGTCCTCGCCAAAGGCCAATGCCAGGATCTGGATAGGTCCTAAAGCTGGTGCACTGTGGGGTTACTAGATATCTGAACAGGCAAAGAAGGACAAATGGGGGGCAAGGAGGACACACAAAGTGTTGAACTTTCTTGGCATCCATGGCAAAATTTACAGTGAAAAGCTGCCCCCCCCCAAAAAAATATTACCTCGGCCTAAATGTGTGGGAAATTACTTTTCCCAGCGCCAGAAAGACTGGTTTTTCGATCCCAGGACTGTGCTAGAGCAGTTGGGAGGCAAAAGCCTTCAGTGTGTAACTGATTAAGGCCTAGTCAATTTCAGGCCGGTTTGTACAGCCAGCCTGGTGCAGTGGTTAAGGCAGGAGGCTAGGCACCCCGAAACTCTGAGTTCTACTCCCGCGCTAGACATGCAACCAGCTGGGTGACTTTGGGTCAGACACTCTCCCTGCCCTAGAAAGGAGGCAACGGTAAGCCACTTTTGAAAATGCTGCCAAGAAAACTGCAGGGACTTTTCCGGGCAGTTTGCAGAAGTCAAAAGCTGACCCAAGGGTACGCACACACATTTTTAGGCCGCAGAGCAGAGAACACTGCACAGCACTTTTTAGAGAAGTGCTGCGCTGTGAAGAAAAGCAGCTCAGGAAGGACATGAGGATAAACAGGGGCACGTGCTAAAGTCTGTGAGTTCAATTCAACATCTATTTACCTTCACCTGATGAGTCCCAGATAAGGTGAAACTGGCCGGAGAGAGAAGACAAAGGACACTGTCTAAGCAAGAAAGAGATCAGGGAAGAGAATGGCCTGGCCACAGAGAGGATTATAAGGTCATATCCTCAAAGCTATTCCAAGTATAAACCCACTGAAAACATCCCTTTTTGGAGTGAGGCAAAGGGCGGGGAGAGGTTGTGTGTGTTTTTCTGATGGAAAAAAAAATGGTTCACTGCAGGCTTTCTCCCTTTAACTACGAAGCCTGCAGTTTATAGCTGAGGAAGCAAATCCTTTGAAGTCCTCAGATTTGCTTCTTCCTGTTTATGATGTTTTTTTTCTTCTTTCTTTTTTTTTCCTTATATATTCTTGGGGCTTAAGACCAAGTTGTCCTATCATTGAGTGTCTTCTTTTGGGCACAGCCAAAGAGATGGCTTCTGAGGAATATAGACCTCTTTTGGGGCCTAACACAGAGACAGAATTGCATGCTGCTGGAAGACCCTCTCAGCTGGAGATTTATTTGAGGTGTGTATATGTTTCTATTTCTGAAATGGGGCTGGCCAGATCAATATGACCCCTGCTGAACTGTGCGTCTCCATCTCTGATTTCTGCTGAAACCCACATGGGCCAGTCACTAGCTATCTCCCAGACCACCTTGTTGTAAGAGACACACCGGTTGAAGAAAAACAGTGCGCCCCCTCAAACTATATGGAGGGGGAGAGAATTAAATGTCTAAATACAAAAAGCTTCATTATCATAGTAGCCTTCTGTGCACTAAATTGGGCAATGGCTGCCCAATCTTTTGGGTGCAAGATGCAGAGAAAGTTGACCTGTTGGCACCTTCAGGACACTTGGAATTTTTCTCTTGATTGGTTCCCCATGATAGATAGATAGATAGATAGATAGATAGATAGATAGATAGATAGATAGATAGATAGATAGATAGATAGATATTATCCTGATTTGACCAGACTGATTTC